TGTCAATCAGCACAAATCACAACTCAATATCACTTCGAGCAGCTGCTCTGGTCCTGCTAAGAGGCGGAGTGCAGTTGATAGCCCTCCGCTGGAGACTGCAGGTGGAACTACATAAGTTGTATCGGCTGATTAAGCCTGCCTTACTCCAATTAAAAATATAATAGTCCCACTGCTTCATGTGCTCCACTGTGAGGTTATGCAGAGGGCAGGTCGACAAGCAGAGGGTGCAATCTACCAGTCACCTGGCCATGATCTACTGGTAGATCACAATCAATGGGTTGTTGACCCCTGATGTATGTATTCACCCCTTTCCACAGTATTGTACCCCCTCACAGAAAGGCCAGAATAAGTCAAAGGAATCCTAAGAAAAGAACCATTACTGAAAGTGTCCTGCACACAACCAAAGAAGTCATAAGGAGCCCCACATAAGCACATTCTGTATGGGCGTACCCTTGAGGACGTGCGTGTGCACGAAACATGTTAGGTAGAGCCTACATGCTGACACCATGCCACTGGGTCTATGCTTCGGAATGGTGGCCATCTTGGTATGTAAAATGTTTAATGTTTTACTGTTTTCCACGTGGAATGCTTTTATGCATAATTCTAAATAAATACTACACTATATAAAAGTTTTTCCAGGCTCCGTGTGGTGAGCATTTCCTTTTAGGATGTAACAGGACCAACAGATGTCAGAGAGTGGATAATACAAATCTCTTTTTATATTTGCTACCTAACAAGTAGCCCTCTGCTGAGTGCAGAGTGGTGGTGGATTGCACATTGGACAGCAGAGCACTATGTGGAATTTAATCACAATTTGCTGTGATTATTATTAGTATCACATCACTGATATACAGATTCTTATATAGAGCTGAGAAAACTGTTGGCGCTATATAAATACTGTGTAATAATAATACTGGAAGGACTTTTTGTTTATTATCATATTGGTTGCACTGAAATATATGTATATTTAATTCATACTTTTTTGACACATTATTATTTTATTTCATATGTTTTATGCGCCTCACCTCATATATGTTTAGTCTAATATCTCTGTCACAGACATTAGATACACATAGGCCACACAGAGAAAGCTGAAGTACCTGTGGTAACTTCACCGGGGCCGATGCTTCCACTAGGAAAACTAGGCAGCCGCCTAGGGTACATTACCACCTAGGGGTGCCTGGGCACAACACAGGCTGGCATTCTGTCTGTGTGGCCTATGGACCTCTTGTATGAATTCTTCATTTTTCTGCAGAGCCCCCTCTCCTCATACACAGGGAATGATGAGGGTATGATGGTATCTTTACTTTGCACAATTGTCTTACAGCCTATCCACACACATGACCATTTGGTTTCTGGGGCCAGTGTAGCAGCTGAGGTGCAGCTCCTTCCAGTGTTCCTCTCAGACTCAGTCCCTTACTACAAGCCGGCTGATGGCTGCTGATCACTGTGGAGTTTTGTCACTCTGCCTCTTTTTTTTTGTTTCTCTGTCTGGTCAATACAGTTAATTTATATTTGGTTAATATATATTTTGTCTCTAATATTAGTGCTAGTGTCATCTTATGGCACCTATTTTTTGAAAGTAAAAGAAATTCACCAGTTTCATGTTTTGTTGATTTAATATTTTTTACTGTTTTTAAAAAATGCTATACATTTTTTTTTTTTTGGGGGGGGGGGCGCAAGTAACTGGTCTTGTCTAGGGCGCAAAATAGTCTAGCACCAGCCCTGAACCCCACACAGATTATACAGAATCCAAGCAGATGTTATAATCTTCTCCATATTGGTGTATTTAGGGAAGTTACTTTTATCTCATTAGGGCTGGGTTCACACCTAATTTACACAGCAATGCACAAAAATGTGTGCTATATGCATTGGTGTACTGTGGTGTCATTCATTCCTAATGACACCCAAATGCATCTTGCCAACACACATGCGTTGCAGGGCACCACAATGTACTGTAATGCACCCCAATGTATTGTAGTGCACTGCATTATAAAAAATTGTTCATGAACCTTTTTGGTGGGTTTTTCTTGGTTCATTAGGTAAAATTTTTTCCCTTCTTGTAAGTATTAAACTATGTTGATATAAAGTGGTTATGATTATGTTTATGGTAGATAGGGCCTTTTTCACGTGGGGGGAATGCAGTTCTGGCACCTCCAGCACTGAATGCATGTAATGGGAAGAGGTGTTGGGTTGTCTTAGAATGTCTATTGCTGCCGGGGGATCAATTTTTGTGTGGCATTCTATTGTTGCTGGGGAGGTCTATTGTTTTTGGTGGGGGGGTCTATTGTTGCTGGCCGGGATCTGCTGTTGAGGGAATGGTCTATTGTTTCTGGCTTATGGAGAGTCTATTGATGCTGGTTGCTAGGGGATCTGTTGTTGTTGCTGCTGGGGGTCTTTTGTTGCTGGGGTGGTATTTTGTTGTGGGGGTCTATTGTTGCTGGGGGAATATATTTTTTGTGGGAGGCCTGTTGTTGTTGTGGGGGGGGGGTCTGTTGTTGCTGGGGAGGGGGCGGGGTCCTATTGCTGCTGAATTTGAGAGATCTATTTTACTGCTTTTCTTGCTATCATTAACAAATCCCACACAAATGAGCACCATAAAATGATACTTGGCTCTGCATTCTCTAAAAGGAGCGGTACTGGCAAGAGACAGTGCTCGGAAGTGGATAGAGGGGAGAAATGACTCAAGAGGGGGGAGTTCCTGCACCTATTGCCTGAAGAAAAAAAAAGCCTGATGGTAGGGATTGTACTCTTTTGGATGTTATGTCATTAAGGTACTGTTGTCTTTACAATCTGCCCTCCTCTTGGTGGTCTCTAAATGTTGCAGTCCCCGTGTGCTCCTGTGTCCACCTGAGAGACTATTGTACAGTCACTCCTCGCCTAACCATGTGGGCAAATACTTGATTTTTTTCATATACTGATAAAGAATATTTAGTAATTTATTTGCACTAAATCATCTGTATTTTGATCTGTATTTTGATTAATATATAGTTGGCTATTAAAAAACCATTCCGTCCTGAGGAAGCTGGTGGATGGTATTGTATACTGATCTTCCATATTTTCTTACATTAATTTTGTATGTTTGTGGATCCTTTGAGATCTGAAAGGTTATTTTTGGGTTTTTTTTTTTGTTTTTTTTATGAGGTTATGAATAAATGATATGTTTTTATGGTAATTATGACTGCCTCAAGGTGTAACTTTAAACCACTTCCCACCCAGCCTACAGTAATATGACGACTGTGAAGGAGCTCCTGGCTTCAGGTGGATTATTATTATTATAATACAGGATTTATATAGCGCCAACAGCTTGCTCAGCGCTTTACAATATAACGGGAGACAATACAGCAACAAACAGTTCAATACAAGAGGGAAAGGAGGGCCCTGCTCCTTGAAACTTACAATCTAGGAGGGAGAGGCTAGTGGTACAAAAGGTAGTAACTGTGGGGGATGGACTGGTTGGAAGAGTAGAAGATTCCATTATTAGCTTAGGGCAGGATAGGCTTCCCTGAAGAGATAGGTTTTCAGAGATCGCCTAAAAGTGAGCAGAGTAGGCGATAGTCTGATAAATTGGGGTAAAGAGTTCCAGAGGAGGGGGGAGAAGCACTGGAAAAGTCCGGAGACAGCCATGGGAGGAGGAGACAAGGGAGCTAGAGAGTAGGAGGTCTTGCGAGGAGCGGAGAGTACGGTTTGGGTGATATTTGGAGACAAGATCGATGTAATTTGGGGCAGAGTTATAAATGGCTTTATACGTTATTGTTAATGTTTTGAATTTTATCCATTGGGCAATGGGAAGCCAGTGGAGGGATTGGTAGAGAGGGGTGGTAGATACAGAACCGTTAATAAGGTGGATAAATCTGGCAGCAGCATTCACGATAGACTGAAGAGGGGATAGCCTGCGATTTGGTAGGCTATGAGGAGGGAGTTACAATAGTCAAGGCAAGATATAACAAGGGAGTGAATAAGTTGCTTAGTGGTTTCCAAGGTTAGGAACGGGCGTATCTTGGGATGTTGCGGAGGTGAAGTCTACAAGATTTGGACAGTGATTGGATTTGGGGGTGAAAGGACAGATGGGAGTCTAGGAGTACACCTAGTACCCTGGCATGAGGAGAGGGACTGATGATTGTGTTATTGATCTTGATGGAGACGTCAAAGGAGGGGGCATGGGCTGGGGGGAATACTAAGAGCTCAGTTTTGGAAAGATTGAGTTTGAGGAAGTGGAGTGACATCAATGCCGATATGTCGCTTAATAGGTTAGTAATGCGAGAGGAGAATGAAGGGGTGAGGAGAGGGGTAGAAAGATAGATTTGTGTGTCATCAGCATAGAGATGGTACTTAAAGCCATGGGGAGTTTATCAAGTGACCAAGGGAGGAGGTGTAGATGGAGAAGAGAAGGGGTCCAGGACAGAACCTTGAGGGACCCCTACAGAAAGAGAGAGTGAAGATGCCATATGAGTCCTCCCAGGCTTGCAGCTGGTACACACGCCCCCAGGAGCGCACAGTGCGGCAACCTGTAATGAGCTTTGTCCAAGCACAGCTCATCACAGATCGGGGTAAAGAGCCAATGACAGTGGCTCTTTACCACGTGATCGCTGTGTCCATTCACAGACAACACAGACAACCACAAAATGTAAACAAACATTGGTAACTGGCTGTTAATGGCTTCTCCTTCACACACACACACACACACACACACACACACAATGTTATCAATTTAACCTTTTTCTATACTGTACACACCCACAGAGCCACCTGATTGCTCTAATATCCCTGATCAGCAGTGTGCCTGTCACTTAGGGCAGCCTTCAGTGCCCTTATTAAGCAGTGTACCTGTCACACATAGCAGCCATAATCACAGTATACCTGTCACATAGGGCAGTCATCAGTGCCCTGATTCATCAGTGTACCTGTCGTACAGAGCCACCATCAGTGAAACCACCATCAAGTGTACCTGTCACCTGTCATAAAGAGCAGCCATCACTGTAGTCAACATCAAAGTGTACCTGTCACACAGAGCAGCCATCAGTGCCCTGATTCAACAGTGTACTTGTCACACAGAGCAGCCATCAGTGCCCTGATTCAACAGTGTACTTGTCACACAGAGCAGCCATCAGTGCCCTGATTCATCAGTGTACTTGTCACACACAGAGCAGCTGTCAGTGCAGCTGTCATCGATGCCTTAATTGCATGGAACCTGTTAGTGCAGTGCAGGTGTCATCAGTGCACTGATCAGCCTGTCACACCTGTACCAGTGTCACCAGTGCCAGCCATGTAAAAAAACATTTACACTAGCAAGGAGGCATTTGAAATCCTCAGAATGACGGATGAGAGCATTGGAGAGCTCTCACTGTCTGATTTGTATTTGGTGTATGAACCTGTAGAGAGTGGTGGATCAGTAACGGAGGAGCAGAAAAGGGTGTCCACAAAAAGGCATTCTGAAGAGAAGACAACCACCAGCAGCACCATACCGCTAGATGAAAGGCCCAGTACTAGAACTGGGGTGTCTCGTCAGTCCCAAAGAATTAGTACCCATATAAGTCTCCCAGAGGCACTTTCAAACCCATTATGGCTGCTCCCTGACTCAGCAGCTGTTAGTATACCTGCTTGTACAGCACAGCCAGGTGTTCAGGCTAACACAGAACATTTTACATCGATTGAGTTTTTTTCATTTATCTTTTACAGACAATTGATTTCAAAGTAAATATATGAAAGTGTTACTAAACCCACAACAGTAAAATCAGTCTGTATATGCAGTAAATCATGCTTGTTTTTACTCACTGTGGAACCTATGGGGTTAATTCTCTGCGTTATGTAAAAACGCTGTTTGATCCTGATTTCTCAGATTCTCCCCTTCTTCCAGTGTCCCCCTCTTATCTCCTGATAAGACATATCGTGTGGAGACACTCTGCATATACTCAGTTTTGTGTGTATTGCTAGATAGTTGTTTTTTTTTTAGAGAGTTCACAGGGCCAATCAGCACTGTCCAGAGGCCAGGGGTTCTGCATCCTCCTAGAACAGAAAGAAAACTCTTCCTACAAGCTTTAACCAATGCTCTGCTAAACACTGATAGAAGTCACAAGACTGCTCTAACTGCTGATGAGAAAAGGCATTTAACAGTTTATATTTACTAAGTAATTGCATTTACATGTAGTGTGTACTGTGGGAGACCAGATATAGCGAATGCAAAGTCCTGGGTTTAGTAACATTTTAAATTGCCTGGTGTATGAGGCACCACATCCTACTCAATGAATTAAAAAAATGTATACAGAAAAAAAGGCGCCAACACAATATTATAAAAATATCCAAAATTTTATTGAAATATACGAATATTTAAAAAACAATGATTTCATAAAAACGAACACAGAGTGTCCATGCGGCTATAATACATATGCAGTAGCTTCAGCTTGACATGTTTTGCCAATCACTGGCTTCCTCAGAAGACTTTTGGAATACTGCATGAAATGCCATTAAAGATAAGAACATAATACATAAATACATAATAAGCATATGAGACACATCTAAAGTATATTTTGATACAATGTCAGGACATTATTACTTTAGCACTTATAACAATCTAAATCTACACAAATATAGATGGATCACTTGGAGGGCTTTCTCACCTAGGCTGCTCAGGAGTGTTTGATAAATGTCAAACAGGAAAAAAAAGTCATGCACCAAAAGGATTGTCCCCGGATATATCAGTAGGCCATAGGAGGGAATACAGCCAGCAGGGCAGCAGTCTAAGAATAAGGCATAGCAAAAAATACTAATTATACAAGTTGCATAATGTTATATCTTTATGAAAAAGTCTAATAAAGGACTTGCATACTGTACCTGCTACTCATGTCTTAAAGGTGAAAAGTACAAAGAAGGGATCAATATTGGTAAATTTTTAGGCCCCCCTGCCTCTATACAGGTTAAAAGCTCAACTCCAAGATTCCTAAAATGTTTCCCCACCAAGAAGGACCACCAGCCTATAAATACACATATACTGAAACAACAGAGGAAGAAAAAAAGTCTGCTAAGAAATCCCACAATATTACTAAACAGTTCCAAAACTACATTTACGCGGAAAAATCTATGGTTCTTACCATTATCCAACAAAATTGTGTTGTGGTGTCCCCATTGGCAAGGCCATGACAAAGAGATCACTGCCTCATAGGCCTTATATACTTACTGACCACTTTATTGAGTACACTTGTTCAATTGCTTGGTAACAGAAATTGCTAATCGGACAATCACATGGCAGCAACTCCATGCATTTAGGCATGTAGATGTGGGGAAGATGACTTGGTGAAGTTCACACCAAGCATAAGAATGGGGATGAAAGGGGATTTAAGTGACTTTGAATTTGGCATGTTTGTTGGTGACAGATGGGCTGGTCTGACTATTTCAAAGACTGCTCATCTATTGAGATTTTCACTCACAACCATCCCTAGGGTTTACAGAGAATGCACTAGCAAGGTGTACTTGCAAGGTGTAAAGTGGCCGGAGAGTGTATATCATCCTCCTATAAATTCAACATGCAGCGCTAAAGGAAACAGTATTAAAATCCATGTAGAAAAAAAAAGCAAAATATCTCAGTGCGATATTGATAATGTATCACAAATGCATCGTAGTCTCTATGGTGAGTGAGATATCCCAAAACCGTAATAAAGCGTTTAGCAAGTAAGTCTAATAAACGGCCACACTGGGATTTAACCTCTTGCCGACCGCGCATAGCCGAATGACGGCTTCACCACGGCCGGCCAGTTCTGAGTGGACGTCATATGACGTCCTCCCAGAACGCGCTCTCCTGCGCGCCCAAGGGGGCGCGCACCCGGCGATCTCCGTGATCGCTGTGTCCTACGGACACAGCTGATCACGTGATGTGGTGAAAGGCCGATCCCACCGGCCTTTTTTCCACGTGATCAGCGGTGTCCAATGACACACTGATCACAGGGAAATGCAAGTGCCGGTTCTCGGCTGCACTTTCCTCACGCTGTCAGATCGTGAGGAAAGTACTGCCGAGAACCGGCAGTTGTCATAGCGGGGATCGGCACCGATCATCAGGGCACTGATGATCAGTGCCCTGATGATCGGTGCCCAGCAGTGACACCCGCAAGTTCCGCCCAGCAGTGCGCCCACTAGCCCCGCCCACCCGTTCCCAGCAGTGCCCCCACCTATGCCCAGCAGTGCCCCCACCTGTGCCCAACAGTGCACCCACCTGTGCCACTCTGCAGTGCCACCTACCTGTGCCCAGAAGTGCCACCTACATGTGCCCAGCAGTGCCACCCACCTGTGCCCACCCACCTGTGCCCACCAGTGCCACCCACCTGTGCCCACCAGTGCCACCCACCAGTGCAGCCCAGCAGTGCCACCCACCAGTGCAGCCCAGCAGTGCTGCCAGTCAGTGCCACCAGTCAGTGCCCAGGGGTTGTGCCAGTCAGTGCCGCCAGTCAGTGCCCAGAAGTGATGCCAGTCAGTGCCGTCTATCAGTACCCATCATCAGTGTCACCTATCAGTGCCGCCTATCAGTGCTGCATATCAGTGCCGCCTATCCGTGACCCCTAATTAGTGCTGTCTATCAGTGCCGCCTATCCGTGCCACCTCATTAGTACTGCCTATCAGTGCCCTTTAGTGCTGCCTATCAGTGCCCATCAGTGCCGCCTATCAGTGCCCATCAGTGCCGCCTCATCAACGCAAATCAGTGAAGGAGAAAAAATACCTGTTTGAAAAATTTTATAAAAGAAACAAATAACTTTTTTTTTTTTTTTTTTTCAAATTTTTTGCACTTTTTTTAATTTATAGCGCAAAAAGTAAAGCGCCCAGTGGCGATTAAATACCACCAAAAGAAAGCTCTATTTGTGAGAAAAAAATGATCAAAATTTCATATGGGTACAATGTTGCATGACCGCGCAATTGTCAATCAAAGTGCGGGCAGCGCTGAAAGCTGAAAATTGGCCTGGTAAGGAAGGGAGTATAAGTGCCTGGTAGGCAAGTGGTTAAACAAGTGCATGTGGTGAAGTAAAAATCAATCATCAGTATTCAGTTGACATCCGTGACATTGGTGGTATGGTGAACAAGTGTAGATTGCACTCGCCATTTGACATCCTCCAGGTCAACTCCATATATGAGAAAGTTTAAGAAGATTTATTGGATCACATATTAATCATTTATATATTCTTTTTAATTTATATATACTTTTCACACTATATATTTTTTTTTCGTACTAAGGACTTTCAGTTGGACAATGGTTTATATATAATTTTTTTTTGCACTGATTTTTTTAATCTGGAACTGATTTATATATTTATTGATTGAACTGCTATATGTATTTGTTATATTAATTTTATTAGTTGTGTTCACTCAGTAAGATTATTATCAAGAGATATATTACTTTGAAGAGCGCTGCTTTATTTCCAGTTTAGATTGTTACCGTGTTACAGGGGCTAGTCAGCAGCTCTTCCTAATATATCTATATTTTTTTTATCATCAGTTCCATAGGCGCTTTCCCCAAATTGTTATTTCATTGGGGATGCTGTACCTGAGGAAGTCATATGTTTGTGACACAACACGTTGGAACGGAGGCCGGTGACATAATTTCCGGTCCGGACAGAGGGACCTCATGTGAGATTTTCTGCATACCTGTCATGCTGCATAAGTCCACGATCCCACCGTTGCGACTTGTCATGAGATTTGATAGTTTCAAATCACGTGACAAGTCGCACCCTATTGTCTGCAATGGAAGCGGTCATATTGGTGTGATTCTGACTCCGTCGGAGTTGCACCAATTTTGAAAGTATTTCATGCACTACTTTTTGAAAGTTGAGTTTTTTTATTTGGTGTGACCTGCACAGACATCTGTGCATGAAGTTACACAGAAGTCTTCCAAGTTGCACGAGAAGTCTGACTGACATCTGACTTTGGAATCGTGCAAATTCAAGTGAAGTCGCATGATTTCAAAGTCGGATTTGGTGTGACCAAAGACTTAGAGTCGTTTGACTCATTTTTGCAAGTTTTGTAAGTGCATGTTTATATGAATTGGTTTATTTAATAAATTATTGCACTATGAGAGGCATTCTTTCCCTTTCTTGAGTTTTAATCTCCACCCGAGATCACAGAAGTCTTAATGGAGAATTCCATCCTTGTACATCTTAACCTTTCAGGGTACCTGGTATATGATTCCATCTGGTGGCTGATCGTGACAACTTGTATATTGGAGTTGAGAGCTCATTGTGACCTGTGATTTATTGGTCAACTATCAAGGTGAGGGCGCATTGCGTGTTATAGAAGTGCACAAGCTTTATTGGATCCACTGGTGAACTCTGTCTTGGGAAGTATGGAACACAGATGATATTTATGATCAGACTGGTTTCTTTGGACTTTTATATGCACGGATTTATTTTTTGCACTTGTCTGCACTTTGTCACATTAATGAATACACTGTTATAATATTTTCAGCACTTTAAGGGGTTAGGGGGGCTGTCAGATGTGTATTATTTATTTATTTTATCTACTTAGCCACTTATTTATTGATTGCAATTATATATTTATTTGGAGATTTGTTATGTAAGCATTTTTTGCTGATACATTTGAATTTTTTGCCATCTATAATTGTTGACACATTTATTTTATATGAGGTTATTTAGTGTTACATGTGTTGGAGTGTGAAAGGCTGCTGAGTGTTTATTTTTATGAATTAGTATTATTCACATCTATTCATCTATTTATTTTTTGTGATTAGTTTGGCAGCGCAACACTCTTTACTCTTATTTCCCAGAAAATATTCCACTCTCAGAAACAGGCCAAAGATGTAAAAAAAATTTGGGGTATGCAGCAGAGGGAAAGTTAGGCAAGACACTATTTTACATTGTCCCCAATGTCACTGCCAACCGGGCCTATGCCCCTGCTTCCAACATTACCAGATTTCACTAAGATTTTAGTGAAGGTATAGTGTCCATATTTCAAATAGCTTGTCTTTTCCCTATTTCTAATACCTGTGCTGATCATTTGCTTGTTGCCACAACTGACAACGCCCCTGCCTACCACCTTAACTGACCTCGGCCTGTTTACCGACAATGCCTCTGCCTGCCATCTGGATTATTTATCAGCCATGCTTCTGCCTTCTACCTGAACTGACCCTGGCCTTTTTATCAACGATGCCTCTGCCAGCCGTCTGGATTGTTTATCAACCACGTTTCTGCCTTCCACCTGAACTTACTTCGGTATGGTAATCGACTGTGTTTTTTTGCCTGCTGCTTGGACTAACATTTTGCCCTGCTACTGTAGTAGTTGGATTTAAGATCACATAGGGGTCTTCAGAATAGTGTTCTGAGTAGAATATTTTTAAACCAGTTTTTGGTTTTCTCCAGGTTTTGTAATTACCAGATCAGGGTCTGGAGTCTGGAGGTTCCAAAGAGATTAGGGTTGGTAGAAGCCTCTTACCTGACCAAGGCCCTAAGCCTGATGTTTCTGCTTGCTGCCGTCTGATATTGGCATGTTAATCAACTGTAATGTGCCTGTCTGGATTAGAACCTGAGGACCTTCTGGTTCTGTACTGCGGCTCTGTCTGCTCTGCTCCCCAGAAAGCCTGAGGCTCTGCAGCATATACTCTGCTTGGTATTTTTACCCTAGGGACTCTTTAGCTCTACCTGCCTTCCAGCTGCAGTCAATCTCTAATTAGCTCAGCTTCTAAATAGCAAGACTTCCTGTGCTCTGCTCCCGTCTGTTGGATCTGTTTCCTTGGGTGTGCTATACTGCTGAGCTACTGGACTTTGACCTTTGCCTGATTCCTGGATTATTCTCTTTGCCTGACGATTCTACATTACTCTTTGAATTTGTGTATGACCCTGCCTTTCTCCAGCCACGCTTCTGGATTCTGACTCTGTACCTTGCCGTCAAGATTTGTTGCTGACCTGGCCTGCTTGACTACACTAATGCCTCAATCCCCAGCCAAAGTTCCACTTTAGACTATACCTTACAACAGGTACCTTAGGTCGACCATGCCTCTGCCTGCTACCTGTACTGACCTTTATGGACCATGTTCCTGCCTGCTGCCTGGACCAATACTTTGGTTATGTTGACCATATCTCTGCCTGTTGCCTTCACTGACCCTGGACTGTTTATGGACCATGTTTCTGCCTGCTGCCTGGACCAGTACTTTGGATGTGCTGACCATATCTCAGCTTTTATGGATCATATCATGTCTGTGTTGTACCAATAAAAACTGTTTATAAAGAAGTGATCGTTTTGCCTGCAATATCTGTGCATATTCTTTCTGACTGCTGCCTGGACCAATACTTTGTGCTGACCATATTTATACCTGCTGCCTGTACTGACCCTGGACTGTTTATGGTACATATCCCTGCCCCCTACCCGGACCAATACTTTGGCTGTGCTGACCATACTGACCTTGGACTGTTTATGGACCATATAACTGCCTGAACAATTCCTTTGGCTGTTGCTGACCACATTTCTGCCTGCTGCCTGGACCAATGCTCTCCTCAGCGGACAACTTATCACGTACCTGGTGATGGAGGCCAATGGAGAGAGGGCTTCCCTTGCGGCAGGAGTCTGGCCCAAAGTTGCACAGGTCGCCTGTAGGAGTGCTGGTTGGTGGTCCACTCAGAAGCACAGCTGGTGCACGGAGACAGGTCTGCAGACAGGAGGCGCCTGTGTGTGGTATGCAAGCCCTTCCAGGATTTGGATGTTTTCTGGATAGTCGGTTCAAACCAAGGTCAGGTACCAGGTGGGAATCAGAGCGGTCGTAGTCAGATGGGATAGCCAAGGTCATTCACAGAGGAGAGAGCGATAGTATCTGTAAGCCAAGCCGAGGTCAGATCAGGGGTAAATCAGAGTAGACAGGTCCAGGAGCAAGCCGAGTCGGTAACAGGAAATCACAAGTCAGAATCACAGGAAACAGGAACCAGGAACAGGGCATGGGGAGCTAGCGATCATTCAGCAACCAGGGGAAGTGATGAGCCTCCTTATAAAGGCCGTCTGGCACCAGACTGAGGCTGTTGTGTACTTCTGTGGCCATTTAGAGTACTGGCAGAAATGCCAGATCTTCCAGAACTCCTGCCGTGGACAGGTCCCTGACACAACTGCACTACTAAAACCACAGGTAATCCTACATTTGTGGTATCCCAATACTAGGGAGGAGTAGAAGATTGTATTTTTGTGTGTAATTCTAAGTATTTCCATGTTTTGTGTTAGAAATATCTTATAGA